TTCATACACCCTGTTTGCAGGGTGAGACAATAGGGATGATATATACCCAAGTACCATATGTCTCCAAGAAGGGCTTATATTCTAATTTACTGTATTACCATACAGTCACATTTACCATTATCAGTCACACAAATGGGGATGCCATGGTCTTGACAGTATGCAGAGTTCAGCTGATCTCTCTGTGCTGCTTCCAACTGGATTTTTATATTATTTGCATTGCAAAGGTCCGTGGACTACATACATTTTACGTGAAATTTGCAGCTGAATGTATTTGCCCATTACCATCTCATCACCTGTTAAAAGAAGAAAGCCCATAACTTCAAATGAACAACCCCTGCCTTGGTAAAGCTGGGCTGTCTTCTCTACAGAGAAACACTGAGTGTTTCACCTCAAGAGAACTAAACTAAGCAATGCTCACATTTCAGTCCTTCTTTCCATTCTTGGGCTGATAGATGGTACCTATGAGGAGTTACCTGTTCAAAATACGACAATTCAAAAGGTAGTCAATTAAGCCAATATCCCTAGCTTAAGGCAATGCAACATCAGGCCTTAGCTTTATTTATTGCAACCAGAAGGGTTTTTCATCAGAAAATAGTGGAAGGATTTAGCCTAGTGACAAAGGTGTCAGCAATAAACCCCTCTTCAAATAACTGTATTTCATTAGGCCTGATCTCAGGTTTCAAGGAGGTCTGATAGAACTGTTGTTAGAACCATCTGTAAAAGTAACACTGAGACACCTAAATTTTTTGGGGAGTGCAAAAGATAGCAAACTCCATTGAGTTTATGGTCTTACACAGAACATCTGCAAAACAAGCAAAGGAAAATATAGTCGTGGCTGTTTCCCTGAGGAGGAGCTGAGGAGATGAACTGGCAAATAAATTGTCTGTGCTCTCAGGCAAGGTGAGAGCTACTGATTGACCACAGCCCTCCTGTGATGACACAGCATCTCCCAAGCCAGACAGGGTTTTAAAGAGCCATTTAAAACACAGCTAACATAGAATTTCTGTTAAAGACTTCTGAAACTGTACTGAAACACAGACATAGCTGTGATGGGAAATGTGGGCTGCAAATGGATGACAATGGAGAACTGTAGAGATTAAGAGAAAATAAAACCTGTGGTGTCACATTGTAATGTCCCAGATTAAAAGACAATAAATCTGATATTTAAAAATCTGAGCAAGATGGACAGTGAACAACCCTGCTCTGAAGGGTAGGATAGGAAAAGAGACAGTTCTACTAGGCAGGCAATGGCAAACTGCCCTCCTCAAGATGGAGCCAGCCAGCACAAGTGACCACATGGGGACATCAACAACTCATAGATGATTGATTTGTATTTTTCCTGACAGCTTGTTTCTTTCTGAGTGGTCCATTAATTTTGGCTTCAGGCAAAAAAAAAAAAAAAAATCCAATGCAAAACCAAACAACAACCAACCAAAAAACTTGCATAGGGAATTTTGGTTTTGGATAAAAAGAAATGTTTTACAATAAATAGTAGGACAGACTTACAAAATTCAGAAACAATTTTCATTACTGTTCCAGATATAATGAGATTTATTGATATATATTAGGACAAAGTCTGTTTACAAATATGTAATTTAATATGCTTTATAAAATGGTTGTATCTCAAACCACTAACTTTACATTTGAATGGGTAGTAAAGATAATTTGCAATTTCCTGAAATACTAAAATCTGAGAAAACCATGCTTTCCTAAGACAGATATTGGTAGACTAGAATAAACTGGCTGTGTTTTCTGTGCAAGATTCACCCACAGGTAGTCTATGAGTAAGTCAATACTGCTATCAATTTTTCTTAATTAGGAGGCTTTTACCCATGAGGAAGAAAGAAGCATAACTGCATCTCAGAACTACTTCGCTCATGCTTCAGCCTGCTGTTGGCCAATTTATCTTTTTCAGCCACAGCTCTAAACAGCTTCTGGGAAAAGGGCTCATTTGAAGAGTACATACTTCCAGTTTCGGAAGCAATTGTAAAAATAGCTTAGTAGGATTCTTATTAATAAGCGTATGTTCTTTTAGTGCTTCCTCAGGGTCAAGCATAACTCATCTATGTTGTTTTTTGCTATTTAAGTTAGATAATGAAACTGTAAGTGATGCTTTAGAAATCGGTATAAAACTTCTGTGCTGAATTAAGTGGACTATATCAGTTGCCATATAGAACTGAGTTGCTATTACTTTTAGAAGACAGGAAGCTGTGCCTGCAGCCTGCTGATAATTTACATATTCACAGGCATATTTTTCACTAAAAGAAATGCTTTTTTCCCTGCTATGTTGTGTGAAAAGCCCAAACGAAAAAAAAAAGATTGATGTCATGCATGTGAATGTAGAGAGCTGTCAAATCAGGCACACACCCTCATCCCTCCCAGGGAACAAAATGCAAAGCAGAGACTTCTAAAACCACTTGCCCTTTAGAAAACGAGACCATAACCACCAAACTAAAGTTTGACTCTTTCCTGGCACAACTAGCTCAGTAGACACAAAGTCATGCCTGTGAAAAAAAAGTAGAAAAAAGCCTGTTTCTTCCTTTGCTACATTTATAATAAGTTCAAGCACAACTTGCCACAATTTGAAAGTGAAAAACTCAAATTGAAGTTGGGTTTTTGCTAAGTTCACACAATATTCCTTTGAAAATAGTAAAGTAGACAGAGGTAACAGTCTCATATTCTACAGTGTAAAAATGGTGCTTTAATGTTATCAAGAGCCTTGAATGAGGCTTTCAAGCAGCATAAAGAACTAACACACAATTAAAAGACAGGAGATAAAACCTGTTTTATATTCCATATTTACAAATCTGTAATTATTTTAAGGATTTCATTCTCTTCCCATGCCTGCATGTATAATTTGAATTACTCTTGTATGAAACTGATTAGGCCAACATATGAGAACTTAGATAGATATTTTCTCTTTACAGCCATCCAAGAATTAGATATCTAGCTTAAATTGTCCAACTAGGCTTTCATCCTAGGCCATCTAGTTTTTGCTGAAAGATTGGTGTCTTGGTTTTCATCCATGGGCCAGACTCATCAATGAATTATTACTCCATGCTCTGTTCCCAGATTTCTCCTGGGTGCTTTAAGAATATGAATCAGACATAAATCAGCAATGCACTTACTGCCTGCATGAGAGTACAAACATCTAAGGGGAAGAGCTGCAAGGGGTTTTGCTATGCCACAGCAACACTGCTCCAAAATGCATCATCACATCAGCTTAAGCAGTTTAAGGTGGAAAAACATATGTAACCACTGCCTGAATTTGGGACATGATCTGTATTTTTTCTCCCTGAAAGTGCCCAGCCTTTTGCCACATATGCAAGGTGTTTCTGACAGGCAAAGATCACAAACTCCTTGCATAGACTCAGAGCAGACGTTTTGTCTCCTGAAGTAAAAACTTTTATCAAAAAAGTAACCTGAATTAATGGATTTTTCATAAGGGGGATATGGCAGAGAGATGCCACAGGGATGATGCATGCTCAAAACCATTAAGCATCTCATCTGCTTGCCACTCTTCATCTTTCCATAGCTTCCAAAATGTGCAAAACTAATCTAACTAACGTTAAACTACAGCTTTTATTAAACAGAATGAAGAGAAAAACATGGAATTAACCTGTGCATGGCGTGAGACATTTTTACCATTCATATATAAAGCCTTTTCATTTTCAGAAAGCCATGTGGAATATGAAGGATAACCAGGAAGTTATTTCTACAGCCGGCCTTCTTGACTTGTTTCTGGTGCCTAACTATGTATCAGTCACATACTTTATGTGACATTGATAATAGCAACTTGAAACAAACCTGTCTAAATGCTTCAAAATTATCAGGTGAACTTCAGTGAAAAAGTTCCCAATTACTTACAGTGATAACAAGGTAACAAAAGATTAAGAAGGTAATTTTTACCATTAACAAAGCCCAACATAATCCAACACACTTCAAGTATCTACGAAAGTGTATATTATCAAGTACGCTCCATTTCCTGGACAGAGTCTCAACTGACAGTGCAAAAATCAACACCCTTGATTTATTTTTCCCTTTCATTAGGGTCTTCTGATGGTACAGGAGGAGTGTAACTTGAACAGAAAGGCATATTGTTAGCTTTTAAGTCTCATCTCATACATCTCTTTCCCAACACTCAGGATCACTCCACTCCCAAGTCCTCCAGTGCACACAAGAAGTTCCATGTTGGCTTTTCCTGTGTCAGGACAGAACTAACATAAGAAAGAAATGTCAGGAATGCTTTTCTGGGAGTGAAGTGCATTTCCCACTGATCATTCATAAAGGGAAGCTGGCATGTGAAGTATGTATCTCAATAAAACGTATGAGGACACAGGAGTGAGGAAATAGGCAAACTTCATGCAAGGTAGGGTTTTCTGCTCCCCCGAGAAGATCAATACTAAAAAAACTTTGATTGTGTTTGTCCTGAAAACTGGGCAGTATCCCCTATTGTCCTCATGAATCAAAGAATTAATAAAATAGTATTTAAGCAGCATTTTCTACCTCTGCCTGTAGAAAAGATGCTTTCCAATGTCTTAGCCCTTCTTGCTAAGCTAATGTTCCAAGCTGCACTGTCTGCCAGACTAGGGAACTTGATTTGGAACAACGAGATCCAGTCATGCAGTGAGGAGATTAACTCACATCCGTTATAACACCTTTTGAGGCAACTCATTAAATCAGTCTGGCTGTGAAGTCCAGCAACTTGATGGCATTAATCTAATGTCTCATCCCAGCCCTGAGGTTATCAGTGGACAGCTGTAATTACAACTGATTGAAAAGACATTTTCACAGAGGAGTTTCTGTTTCCTGGAATTCAGGCATTTCTGAATATTTTTCCTGTGTTGCCCAGCCCAGTCATTCCAATCTTATTATCTGCAGGCAGGCATATGCAGCTTTTTAGTAACTTGAAATCAAGGTAAGAAATTGGCAATATTCTGATGACAGGCAAGCTACAAAGTTAAGCTCTAACGACATATGGTCTTTTAATGGCACTGTATCTACCTTCTGCAACCTCCTACATCCTCCCTGTATGTTGGGGAATATGGTGAGAAGCTCCTGCTTGGTTCACTGTCACCCCAGCTGTGACACTGGACTGGTCGCTGTTTCTTGACCTCTTCCCTTTTCTCTTCCTTGATGGACTCCTCAGAGTCAGAGGACAGCTCGACCACTTCTGGGGTCCTCTCAGCCAGCGGCTTAACGTACCCAACAATGACACAATTGTCTGAGGAAGAGCCACTGTCGTTTGAGTCAGCATTGGCCTGTAACCCAGTCTGCAGCTTGGTTCTTCGGCTCCCTGAAGCAGAGTCCTCGTCAGAACTTTCTGATGACTCCAGAGAAGCTATGGCTGCACGAACCTCTTCTGAAACGGTATAGGAAGGCCCCGGAGTTTCGTCATCCCACGGGGCCTGACCAAGGCCAGGAACAGACAAACTATTATCCGGCCCTTGCGGGTACGCCACATCGGGAGATATTGTAATAATTGATGAGTCTGAGTGGCTTCCTTCCTCATACGACGGGGCAGGACAGTCGTAATTGGCGTGTTGATCGTATGCTTCTAAGTTAAAAGGACAACGAGCAAAACTGATGAATTCGTGCAGGAAGTGCTCTGTCCGATTCAGCAGAAATGGCTTCAGGTCGTCAGCAAAGGCCTGGCTTTCCAGATCGTGCCTGGTTACGTTGCTCATGATGATGTGCTGCACAATGTTGATCAGAGACCCGTGGGCACCAAACAGGACCGTAAGCTCTCGCTTCAGCCAAGGAACCAGGCGGTGAAGGCAAGCAGGGTTGCGGCGGAAGAACTCGGCCGAAATCTCTCGGTATCGGCCGCCGTCCTGGATGCTGCGGATGCGCACGCCAGTGCGGTACAGAGCCCTGCGGAAGGTGATCATGTCCTCCTCCTGGATCTGCCGCAGAGATCTGCCCTCCGCGCTGGCCTTCCTCCTTGAGGCCAGCCTCCTCAGCATCTGCTGAATCTCCCTGTGCCTGTGTCGCGCCGGCTCGCTCGACAGCCCTTCAAACAACATCCCGTTATCTGGAGGCGACGGCATCCTTCGGGAAAGGGAACCGCACGCGCGGCGTTCCCTCGTCAAGGTGGTGCGGTAACGAAACCTCCGGCCGTCGGGGCTGGCAAAAGAGCTTGTTTCTAAAGGGCTGAGGATGTACTCCTTGAAGTCATCTTCAGCACGAATCGTGTGGAAAATGGAGAAGAAGGGTTGCTTGCAGAGCGGGCATTCTGCTTTGTTCTTGGACCACTCTTGCATGCAGCGGAAGCAGAACCTGTGCAAGCAGCGATCCAGATACGCCACGTTGTCAAATCTGTCCAGGCAGATGGGGCACTTGGAGTCGGGAGACGCATCTGTCGGCAGCTTACTGGTGCTGGCTTTCGGAGAAAAACTGCTGTCTTCTGCAATCTCTCAGCTAACAGAAAGCACCTAGTACCTCCCACATTTTAGGATTACCATTTGGCAAGTGAGGTCATCCCTGCTGCAAAGCACCTTGGAGCATGAGTCACATCCTGACCTGTGAAGGACGGGCTGAGTTTACTCACTGAGATAACGAGTTTTTCCAAGCCGATGCTCTGTGTGCACCTCCTGTTTCCACTCTTGGCTCCTAGCCAGAGGGTGCCCACAGGGTCACAACTTGCAGTAGAGATTCAAGGGTCTTTCTCTTTTTGTTTTTATTTTAGTTCCCTGCCGTCTCAAGGATGGTCTTAAGCAACCATCTCATCTTGATGTGACCTGCAGGCAGCTGTCAGATGGCAGCATTGCTCACTAATATGTGAATGGGAATTGAGTCAGAAACTCAGAAAGCAAAGGTTTAGCTTCAACAACCACTATTTTAAGCCACCCAGTTCTCACAATCAAGTAAGCTATTTTACTTTATAAAATAATCATGTTCTAAGGCAAAAAAAATAAAATAAAATTTGTTTTAAAAGAAAATTAATTATTTTTGTCTAGACAAAAATATAGACTCAGTCTTCTGGACATGAAAGGAATCTAAATATACAGTCTAAACCAGCATTATAATCCAAAAGACCAAGAATGTACAACGTGCAGTCACTTACCAAAGGGACTGAATATTTGCAAAATAGCATGCTCCTCTTGAGGAGTTCTCTGGGTAACAATTGGAAGGGAAGATAGAAAGAAATTCAGTATGATCTGCAGACTTTTATTTCTGAACATGGAATAATATTTAATATTCCTGGCACAGGCTCTTCTATGTAAAGCCTTCAAGCTCTGAAATGCACTGCCTTCTACCAGCAAGCTGTAAATCCTCCCAGTCATTCCTCACACTCCTGCAGGGCTGCACATCCACTGGCCAAACAGCGGCCACATTAGCAACCTGACACCTTAAACAAGTTCAATGCTTGCCCTTTGGTTGGCTGATGGCAAAGCAGCAAGTTAAACTGGAAAGGTCAAGTGGAAATCTCTGAACAGAGTGAGCCATATTGCAGACACAAAGTAAAGCGAGCAATGAGTTCTCGAGCTATGCGAAAACTGGGTCAAAAGGGCCTGAAACAGAAACTGTTAGGCAAAGTGAGAAACCAAGGTTGTTATTTCAAAGGCGGTCCATGTGGCAGTATCGCTCTGTGGCAGGGATGTGCTTTGCTTTTGGCTCTGCTCAAGACTGCAGGCAGTTTTGAACTGAAAGGAGAGGTTGTATAAAGCAGATGCAAGCTGCATTGGGAGCAGAAGCCATGTTCAAAAACAAGGTGTGCAGGGAAAAGCAAATTCAACAATCCTGATAAAGGGAAGAAATTACATCACATGCTTTCACAGATAGGCAAGGACAGCATTGAAAATCTTCCACAGTCACTAACAGGACCCATATTCAGAACTTTTAACCTTCCAAGGATTTCATGCATGTTGTCCTCTTAAGTCACAACATCTAAGCTTCCAGGCTTCTGCACCATGACTAAACCTGCCTCAAAAGAAGAGCAATGAAACCAGAAGTGTCTCCATCCTCCTCAAAGAAGGGTGCTAGCAGGACAGTGTTTACAAGAATCCCTGTAACACCCTTTGGTAGGCATTTCAGAACTTACAAAGGTGATGCTTTGTGATCCTGGGCAGCTTCTGGTCCTTCATTGCAATGTATTCAGAGCACACAACACTGAGCGCAGAAACCGGGAACCTTGAAAAAAGAGATGCATGGCAGGTGTGAACACTACGAAGAAAACCCATCCTTTCCCTGGTGGAATGCAATCAGAAAAAGCATTCCAAACCAGGACTGCGGGAACTGGTGTAAGACAATAGCAGAATCCTGCACTGAAAAATTTACCTGGAAATTTGTACAGAAATACTAAGGGCACAGTGGTTTTACTAGAAGCCTTAGCCAGTTACCCCAAATTATCTGTCCTTACATCTTGGAAAAAAACAGCCAGCACTTGTGAACAGGGACTGAAGTGACATCCTACTGTAACAGCAGCTTCTTTTAAAGAGGATGAGCCAGGCCGAGTAGAGACCATAAAGGAAAGAATAACAAAGGTAATTCACATTCTGTCTTGCTTCCATAACAGCTGAGCCCTGCACACAGAAAGGCTTCTGAGGCTCCCTCCTCTGCTCCTTGTATGCAGTGGAAATGCTGCTTTTATTGTATGCCACATCATTATGTTGCAGCTGGAGAAAGAAAAAAAAAATATAAGCCCTTTTTGTACTTGCTTTTAAATGGTCAGGTCATGAAAGAAATAAATTGCAACAAATTATGAGGTCCTACTCAAACTGCAGCTCTCTGCAAGCACAGAGTATTCCCAGGTAAGCTTGCCCATTTATTTAATTTTCCTTTTTTTCCATTTAATTAATTTTCTTTTTTTGCCCCTTTTGTAATCAAATATACTTTAGACATCAAAACAGCCAATATGGAACAGCCTGGTTTTGAAAGCCAGCATGCTTTGTAACCGTGGCAAGCTCTCAGAGTCAGGCTGATGCTGCAAGGAATGAACTGCACATTTAAGTTACATAAGCAACTTTCACTAGAGAATATATAAAATGTCAAAATCTGGTACTATGCCTTATGTTCCTCTGTTTCAGAGTTTAAAAGTTAAAAACTACTGCAAAACCATCAAAGGTTTTCAGTCACAAAGGTGCATGCTTTGAGCTTTAGATATTTGAGAAGTATTTTAAGATGAAACTTGATGATTTGAGAAGGTTTCAAGTTCTGATTTTTTTATTTAGTTTATTCAATTTTAGCATTCCTGGAGTTCGGAAAGTTAGATGTCCATCTAGATCCCACAGTTTTAAGATTTTTTTTTTCATTCTGAGGTAAAATAACTTTCCTTGATATTCACAAAAAGGCAGTTTACAAATATAATCACATGTGCTTTCCTTTACCATGGACACATGATTCAACTGGCTGCCAGCAAAACAGGCTGCTAAATGCTGAGAAGGTTTGCAATCAGTCTGCAATGAAAAAATCTATACCCCCTCCACCAAAATTTTCATGGCATAGTAAAGAGATAACATAATCATTGAGCAGAAAGCAACCACATGAAATAAATGCAGCAAATATTTGCTTATCCAGCCACTAAATAAGTAAAATGCAACCTAGATTGAGTGAGACAAAAATGGAGAGTCCTTATTTTTCATATGATACAAACTATTATCATACTCTTCCTTAAAAAGCCATGTGGACAAGTTGAAGTTACGGCGTGGTGGAAGGAGAGCACAAGCACACTCGTGCTGTGCCACATCATATTTATTGTGTTCTAAAGGCAAGTTAGCTCATTTCTTGCAGCACTTGTGAAAGCAGGAGAAAAAATAGATGAGGGTGGGGCAAGAAGAGAATTTGAAATATAGAAACAGAGCAAACCCCCATTCTCTTCTTCAAGTTTCAAAGGCATCCTCATTTGCATTTCCATAACTGAAAATTGAAAGTGCACATTTACTTCTACCCTTTCAGATGTGATATTGTACAAATTCAAAATGGGCCCACCGTCTGAAGAGACACAACCTGGAGTCCAAGTCACCCCTGAAGTACCAGCAGAACAAAACCTGTGCAGGGATACAGCAGCCAAGATCAGTACATGGCAGCAGGTCAGCCCCTCAGCTTGGTCTGAGGTGCCTGTACTTCAGAGACTGTAAAAATAGAAAGCAGCAGGTTTTTAAGAAAGTACCAGCATTCAGTAGTGCTGCAGGTTAATGGTATTCTGTTAAAGCCATATGGATCAGTGTCATGCAGACACCAGGGAGGAAGGAGAAGGGGACAGGGTGATGAAGAAAACTGAGACAGGAGAGTGGGAAAGCTGAGGAAGAGAAGAAGGGTAGCTGCATCTCCACTGGTTTCTATGGCTATTGCACAGAGTCAGGAGCTCATCCTGAAAATGGCAATTTAATATGCCCACACCCTAGGCCCAGATAGAAACACTGGTTCCAGTGTCTGCTTCCCACAGGGATTCCCCATCTGGCACAAGGTAAAGAGCAAATCAAGCTCTGGCTGAGCATTCCATAATCCAAAACTAATCCCTCGGATACTCCTTTGGACACCAGCCACCTTTTATGCCTGATGCCACACGCTGGGTAAAGCAGCATCAGCTCCTTACGGCCATTCTCCTTGGCACAGAAAGGCCCTGGGTGCCGCCTGTGCTGGCAGGGTGCTGTGTAGGGAGAATGCCAGCAGGCACAGCTTTGCAGCCCACCTTGAACCAGGGACATATCCATGCAGAGACACCAGAGTCAGACAGCACTTCAGGTCAGGTGAGGCACCCCTCTAAGAAGGCTTCAGGTTATGTGTAAAACTTGGTCATCGTTTAGGCAGGTGTATAAGAACAAGGACAAGGAGATGGTCTGTGTGCTGGTTTTGGCTTAGGTAGTGTCCACTTTCTTCACAGTGCCAGTATAGGGCTGGGTTTTGGATTTGTGATGAACACAGGGTTGATAACACAGGAATATTTTTGTTATTGCTAAGCAGGGCTTAGACAGAGCCAAGGCCTTTGCTACTCCTCACCCACACCACCAGTGCAGAGGTTGAGGGAAGGAGAAAGGTACAAGGAATTGTGAGGGGACACAGCTGGGACAGCTGACCCCAAATGATCCAAAGAATATCCCAGTCCTGCAGCTTATGGTGCCATGCTTAGCATGTAAAACTGGGGGAAGAAGAAGAAAGGGGAGGAAGTTCAGTCATGGCATTTGTCTTCCCAAGTCATCCTTACACAGGATGGGGCCCTGCTCTCTTGGAGATGGCTGAACACTTGGCTGCCTATGGGAAGCAATGAATGAATTCCTTGATTTGCTTTGCTTCTTTTACTTTCCCTATAAAACTGTCTTTATCTCAACCCATGTGTCCCGTCCTGCTGTAAAAGGGGAGTTGGGGAGGATTCCTATTGATAGACCTCTCAGATGAAAATAAAGCACAAGCGCAGCAATATTATATCTGAGAACTGTTTGTGGGTAAAGCAGGGTAAGTGCTGCTGCCGAAGCGGGACAGAACAGGGAGCAGGAAGGGGAGAAGAGAGAGGGAGCAGGAGCAGCAGGCCGGGCCAGGCCGCTGCCGCCGCTCAGCCCCAGCCGGGCGGGCGGAGCGGGCGCTGCGAGCGGGGCCGGGCCCGCGCAGCTCCGGGCGCGTTCCCGAGCGGGGCAGCACCGCGTGCCCGCGCCGGGCCGGGATGCGCACGGGATGTCCGTCTGTCCTGCCCGGGAAGCGGCGGAGCCCGGCGGGACAGCGCGGACAGCGAGAGAGGGGCGAGGAGGGCCGGGCTGAGCCTCCGGGCGAGCCCCGGATCCCTCCAAGGAAGGAACCCAAAGCAAAATGGCATCGGAGGTGTCGCAGTTCATGTGCTAAAGCTCCTCCCGCAGCCCGATTTCCCAGGCGGTTTGTGCCAGGCACCCGGGCATCAGCATCGCCCCCAGCAAGTGGGGGCCACTCGCAGCCCGAGCGGGGAAGCTTTGTCTGGCCTGAGTGGCTGCCAGGCCAAGGCTCCCCGGAACAGGGCTCCCCACACGTGTGCAGTCCTTACAGTGATGTTTCACCTCGTATATACCACACGGTGAGCCATAAATAAAAATCAAATTGCTCCCTTTCAGGTATGTGAATTTATGATTTAGAAGGTACCACATAGTGATACATACATACTAATTAATGAATGGCAACCCTGCAAGGATTTTAGTTTGGTGCTTGTGTGTAGCTAAAACTGAATTAATTGGCTTTATGTCCTGAACGCGGAAGTTCAGCACATGCTTTTGTATGTGAATAGTCACCTTGAAGTCACTGGGAGCAGCTGTCAGTCGTGGGAACCTTCATGTCTGACATGGATCTGAAGCCTACTGCAGATGTTTATACAGAGCATGATTTTTTAAAAATTGTTTGCTTTTATTGACTTTGATGGGATGATTTGCCCCAAGTCAGGTGAGTAATTTGTGTGGATTTTGGATTTAGTCTTCTAAAGAAAGGAAAAAGGGAAGAAATTGAAACAGAGATTGTGCTAGGGATTTCTCCTTCTTGCAATAGACACTTTTACCTGCCACAAAATGTATTGTCCATCCACAGTTACATCTGAAAAATGACAACAGAGAACTCAGAGTGTGTTTTCCTGCATTTGAGAGCCTTTGTAGCAATGTGCAGTGACAGCAGGATGACTGCAGCTGATGAAAAATGATAAGATGTGATTATCAAGCTGCATAACCAGCAAATTATTTCACTTGCTTGGGTTTAAGTTTTTTTTCTTTTTGTACTCTAATGCTGGCACCGAGCTTTTGGTTCACGATAAAAAACCAATATATGGTCTTAATTGTAGTTCATAATTTTATTAATTTGGATTACTTTGCTACTTGAATCAGTGTAAGGATAGAGTCAAAATATCATCTATATCTTTTGTAATGGAGAACTATGAAAATCACTCTGTCAAAAAATAATTTGTTGAGGAAAAATATATTGTCTTGATGACTGTAATCAGTAACACACGTAGTGTGAACAAAGTAAATGTTGTCTTTATCTGCTGGCCATGGGCTCTTAACTGCTGCAATTATTTCAAAATGAGTGGAAGAAAATGTGTTTTCCTCTTCCTTAGAGTGACTGTTGTCCTTCTGTTCTTAAGTGTGATGTGTGCCACAGAGGAAGGAACTAAAGGAATGTACTGTCTATGTTTTTGGTCTCACCAAGTCCAGAAATCGCTTTTAGAGCAATCCTGAATAGCCACAGATCTGTACCCAGTTAAAAGATTATTATGACATTATTATTAATAGAAATCGCTGCAGCAACAACTTGCCAAATGAACCATTAAAAGCAAGCCAGACTCACTGAACCACAGTAAAATCAATTAACGGCTGCTTGGGGCAACATATGGTCTTTGAAGGTCTTTATCTTTTTAACCATTTGTCTCTTCCAGTGTTTGCGGCAGAGCTTTCCACCTCTCTTTCATTTGAATGCAAAGAGCCATTTCAAAAACTGTAACTTCCTCTTAGTAACAAGCTCATTTAGTGGTATGTCACTGTTAAATTGGACCTCTACGGACATGCAGAAATTTGAATTAAAGGGAGAAAACACCTTTTACTGTTAAGGAAAACGGTGTGTTCTTTCTGCTTTGGGAATTTCACTTGAGCCTTTTTGGCTGTTGCCCTACCCTACGCCCTGAGCGCCTCTTTTGTGGTTGTTGTTTTCGAGGCTGAAGTTTCAGAGATGCTGAACCATTGGTTTTTTCAGATGAGAACAAAGGGAGGTGGAAGGGCGATTCCCGTGGCCGGATTTGCTCAGTGATTGCCGGCTGCACGGACCCGAGCAGCAGCCGGGCTGTGCCGGGAGCGTGAGCCAACACTGCCGTCTAGCCTCGGCCGTGCGCCCTGCTGCCTCCTGCCTCCCTCCCTCCGTCCGTCCGTGTGCGAGCTAACGCAGCTCTGCCGAGCCTCCGCCGGCCGGTCTCCTGTTGTACTCACTTCTGTTGGGAAACACAGGATCTTCTGAAGTGGCCACAGCACGACATGAAGGATGGAAGACGGCAGCAAACAGTGGAGGAGATCTGAAGTGGCAATGCATCAAGAAAAGTCACCGCCTGTGTTTGCAGATAGGGAAATGAAACCCATCTGTCCAAATTCTTACAAGATATCTGGTGGCACAACAAGGCAGAAAAACCAATTCCAGGTCTGTTCAGTATTTCTAATGACAAAGCATTTGCAATGTCATTGAGCAGGGTCTCCTGACATATCACCCCCTGCTATATCCTTTGGGCTCTGTGTTGAATCCCACTTTCCTATGTCTCTCCCTCCCTTTTCCTTCTCTGTCTCATACCAAAAATACATCTTTTTTACTCTTTCCCCACAGAAGTTGTAGCTTTTGCTTCTTGGTGTGTGGTGACCTGTGAGCTACTTGACTGAAGTAGTTTGAAGTGCTGTGTTTAGGTTTTATATGCATATTTTGTCTGGACATCTTGGGATTTTAAAACTTTGTATTGCTTCCATTCACCATGAACTTGTGTTTGTTTACCAAAATCTGTGTCTATATAGCCTTTACGTTACAGATGGTAGTGCATAAATAATAAAGAGGATAACAAATATATAAAACATTTTTACTATATATGTGAATATATGTATAATTATTTTTAAAGAGGCAGAAGGTTCTATCAGGGCTCTAATAGAAGAAATTGCACAATTCCTCCATTTTCAAACAGCATGTAATGCAGGAATGAAGCAATTATATTCAAGCTTTCTGGGTAGTGTAACTTGTGAGAAATTGATTATTATGATATATTAAAGTGATTTAAAGCTGTATTTAGCCCAGAGTGGCCTGACAAGTGATTTTGTTTCTTGTTTTTACTCATTTTCAATAGACTTCTTTAAATAATTCAGCTACAACAGTAATCATAGAATCATCAGGGCTGGAAAAGACCTTCAAGATCATCAAACACAACCTTTGGTCAACCACACCCTGGCATTTAGACCATTACACATCCAATCATTTCTTGAACACTTCCAGGGATGGTGACTCCACCACTTCCCTGGGCAGCTTGTTCCAATGCCTGCCAGTGAAGAAATCCATCCTGATGTCCAACATGGACCTCCCCTGGCACAGCCTGAAGCTATGTCCTGTCCTCCTGCCAGTAGCACCCTGAGAAAACAGGCTGATCCCCACTTTCAGGTAGCTGTAGGGAGTAATAAGGTCACCTCTGAGCCTCCTTTTCTGCAGGCAAAAAATCCCCGCTCCCTCAGTCGCTCCTACAGAACTTACTCTATACACCTTCTACCATCTCTGTTGCCCTTCTCTGGACACACCAGCACCTCAGTGGGTTTCTTTTAGTGAGGAGCTGAGAACTGGACACAGGAATTGAGGTGTGGATTCACCAAGTACAGGGCCCTGGTCCTGCTGGCCGCGCTATTGCTGGTACAGGCCAGGACACCACTGGCCTTCTTGGCACACTGCTGGCTCCTGTTCAGCCACTGTCGATCAGCACTCCCAGATCCTTCACCTCTGGGCTGATTTCCAGCCCCTCCCTCCCCAGCCTGCGGCTGTGCACAGGGTTGTTGTCACTCAAGGGCTGGACCCATCTCGTGGCCTTGTTTAACCTCACACAACTGGCCTTGGCCAATCAATACAGCCTGTCCAGATCCCTCTGCAGAGCAT